TTTGTCAAAATGCCCATTTACTTCAATATTTTTTTAGTTCAGGATCAAAAATATAGTTTTATGAAGAATTCTTTTTCTTAATTAACGACCTGATTATAACTATAAAGAAGTATAATCACAACTGTGACACCTGACAGTATCTATTTCTTCACAGTTTCCTATATTCCCTGAAAATAATCAGTTCTCTGCTTTTACATTGAACATCTTCACTTTTTAATACTTTTAAATTTCTGATCTCTGAATTTGAAAAGTTTAACCTTTGACACACTGATAAGAACAACCACTTCCCACTCTCTTACTTGCTGGTGAAATCATCCAGCATGCGGCAGGCGTCCCTCAGCTCTCTGTCCAGTTTGGCGCGGTCAGATGACAGCTCTCGGATCCGCTGCCTGTTGACCTCAGTCTGCTCTGTGAAGGCCTCCTCCAGGCCGCTGGCCTCTTCCATTCGCTGCAGCGTCTCCAGCTGCTTGCGAAACACGGCATTGCGCTGCTCCAGGACTCGTGCCCTGTTGATGTACCGGGCAAAGCGGCTGTTGAGCTCCTGGAGGCTCTCCCAGCCCTGGATGGCTGAGATGCCTGCAGAAGTCTCAGAGTCCTCAGGCTCCTCATTGAAGACATCTGAGCGCTCGTACTTCTCCTTGCGCACCTCGCGCAGGTAGCTGGTCTTGAACATGGTAGTACGCTTCTCTCCCCCTGGGCAGATGGTATCCCTGGAGTGCTTGGTCCCCTGCAGCACCTTTATTGTGTGAAAACTCGGATGCTCACCCTTGGCTGTCTCATGCTAGACTAAAAGCTGCACAGCACTGGCTGGCGGCGAAATAGCCCCCAAAACCTCCCCCTGGCTGTGGCCACGCACGCTGTGGGCCTGGGACCTTCCAGGGAGCATTGTTTCCTTTGTGGCTTAGTAAAGCCATGCTGTTGATGACAAAGCAGAACCTCAAATGCAAACAATTGACTGGCCCGCGAAAACACTGGGTGATCACACACCATTATTTTGGTTCTTAGTCAGCTGCTTTCTAGATCCCTGTTTGATATAGCAGATTGGATGGTGGCCCAGCGCTGGACAGAGAGGAAATTTCGTGCAGTGTAAATTGTGTGGACTGTGGAAAACTATTCCTGATGTAAGTGTTGACACACTGAGCTGTGCTAAAAGGTGAAAGCTAATTGTGTTTCGGTTCATAACCTCAAAAGCATTTCACAACACACCCTGCGTTACAGAAACATGTTGGTTGTTGTTGATTAGCAGTTAGGCCCAGTTACATGGATTCATGGTTATGCAGTAGAGGAATGCAAAGAAGAAGATAAGAATGGCCTGAGAATCTAAATATTTGAGAAAATAACATTGTGATGCATTATGTTGTTTATTTAATCAGAGACAATCAAACAGCAGAGCCAATTTCTTAAACTGCAAAGTGAATGTGTTGAGTGTTGGGAAAATGGCTGAGTGGCTGAAATACTCTTTATACTTTCTATTCCTGATAACAATAACAAGAGCCTGTAGATGTTTTCATCAAGGTGATTTTGTCCACCATCGCGTGTCTTTATTGTCTTTATTTCCCTTTCATATTTTCATTATTCCTCACACACTCATTGCTGCAATTTGCAAAGACGAGAGTGAGACAGCGTCAGGACGAACAGGAGCTCCTGCGTTGCCTCGCTCTCTGTGGTTCAAGGTCAGTAAACGTCCCTCTGGACACATCCAGCAAGCTGTCTGTAAAACAGCTGAACGTTACACATGTCAAACGGCTTTAGATCAGCACTTCAGCATATTTTGGCACCAGCAAAGCCTGCGGCTCGAGTGCAGGCTGTTATTGTAACGCTGCGATATGAAAATCAAAAACAAAACAGAAGCTTTAATGGATTTAAAATAACAGTATAATTTCTCATTAGTGAGTCAGTTAGTCATACATGTGTGCTTTCTGTTCTCATTAACAGTTAATAGATCAAACCAATACTGTATAATCATATATATGTCTATGTGGTAACTCCTACAGAGTATGTGTGAAGTTAATGAGCTAATGAGCCTATTGAGATAGTTTTCTCTTATAAAGAAAAACAAACCATGTTTGAAAATCAACAGATAACATTTGTCAACATTTGTTAATTTTGGAGATTATCTCTCTTAGATCAAGAGACCAATTCTCTTCCCCATTTATATAATTTAGCATTCAGCCATTTCCCACAGCACCAAACCCGTGAATGTTGCTTCCAGCTAATGAACAGAAACTCTCCCAGGATGCTACACTCTGCCTTTGTGAATCACCACCAGTCAGTACCAGTCAACTAATGCACTAGAGTAGCATTCATTATATATGAGTCTGTCCTCGTGTGTGTGTGTAGTGGCATTTGAACTCATTAAAGAGAAAATCACACTGGGACAATGTTCACCCAAAGACCGCACAAGTTTTAAAATCATGTCACTGCGGGGACACTCTTTCATATCACTGTACACTGGTGTGTTTTTTTTAAGCAAATGTAATGCTCCATCGATACTCATTGGTTACGAGTGGCAGTAAATCCGAGGCCTGGGTGAGATTAGAGAGTTGTCTGGTTGGAAATTAGACTTTAGAGTTTATCCGGAGCTGACACCTTGTGGGCCAAAGTGATAGATGCTAGCGAAGATGAAGAAGTAGCTGCTAATATCTAAAGGGTAATAAAGACTAAGAGGAAAACGCTGAAGCAGTTTTCTCATCTCGTGTGAGCTGAGAGGAAGGATATGTTCTGTATCCACATGTGTCTATTATAGATGACAGAGGGAGTTGTTGACTTGTATCTTTTGTTGTGTTGTGTGTTATTATATTTGAACTTCAACCACTGTTCGCCTGCTGCTGATAGGGTGAGAGGAAAGGTAAATCCATCTTGCTGCTATTGACAAATGATTGTCAGGGGGGATATGAAAGACAACTGCACTACCTTTCGAGCACAATAAGAAATTGATCCTAATAAGTCATTGGTCCTTCTGTCGCTGCCTGTTTATCTGCTGTTCAGGATGGTTGACCACAGAGATATGGTCCATAAAAGCCTGTCACAGCTCTGTCTATACATTGACCCGTCACATAAAAAATGAGAAAGGGGAGATCACACGTAATTCTTTCTCGCTAATTAGGCTTATTGATGTTGCACTGCAGTGCAGTTATGGCCCAAAAAGCAGATTGTACTCGTGGTCTTCGTCAAACATTTTCTATCACAGACGAGGTCCCACAGAAAAAAAATCAGATGATGGAGAGAAGGTGTCATTCAAAGTTATGGAAAACTTGAGGCTCACTTCTGTTTCATCTTTAAAACAATATATAGTTTAAAAATCTATACAAAATCATTCAATCTCAGTATTTTTAAATATCTGGAGGAGAGCACCAGCAACCAGGGATCACAATTAAATACTTATATGACATCCTGTTCACAAAAAATCGGAAAATGATAATGGCGATGATGGGTAGCTCTGTATATTTGCATGTCAAGATTAGCATTACACAGTAACTGAGTCAGTTCTCCTCAGCTCTCAGGAGTTTTCATTCTTCAGCTCATTGTGTTGGTAAAGTGTGCTCTCATTTCATTGTCTTTAAATGTCTAATTTTATGAACTTTGCTGAAATAGAACCATGACCCCACCCAACAGCCATTGCTATAGAAGCAGCATTTTGAGCTCTCGTTAATTTCCTAATGTACCAAAATTCACAAT